CCCTTTTCCTCCAGCTGCTCCCACATCCCAACCCTCTCCAGCTGCTCCACCTTTCCAGCCCCGTTTCCCAGCGGGAAGGGGCAGGAACGCAACACCTCACGGCACTAAAAAACACACACACAACCCCCCCACCCCCAGAGCAAAACCCCGGGGGCCTCCGGTCTGCCATCGAAAAATAAGCCCCATTTCCTTTATATATATATATCTCTGGATCTGCAGATGTTTCTGTGTAAATATATATATATATATATATATATAAATAAACCTCCGGGGCTGGGGGGCTACAACGTGGTCTCACTGCCCATGTCCCGGGGGGCCTTCTCCGTGTCCGTGTCCTCGTAATCCGACTCCATCTCGATCTTCACCTGGGGCACGGCACAGATCGGGCTCCGAGAGTAGTTAAAGGCAGGAGAGGACGGGCAGGAAATCTTCAGGTGGAGGGTAATACTGGGAACGAGGAGGAGAGACGGGAATCAGCGCTGATTGATATCCCCCTGTCCCGAATCCACACCCAGACCCTCAGGAAACGCTCCGGGTGATGGGCAGGAAATCTCGAGGGGGAGGGGAATGAGAGGGGGAGAGAGGGGAGTCAATGGCCAAAGCTGTCAGAGTGTGGGATGCACGGAGATTTTGGAGTATTGGATACATGGAAATTTTGGAGTCCAAATGCTGGGGATGCACAGTTATTTTTGGAGTCAAAGTATTGGAGGCATGGATATTGTGGAGTCAAAATGTTGGATATGTGGAAGTTTTAGAGTCAAAATGTTGGATGAGCAGGAATTTTGGAGTCAAAGTATTGGACACGTGGAAGTTTTGGAGTCAGGGTATTGTATACATGGAAATTTTGGAGTCAAAATGTTGCATGCGTGGAAATTTCGGAGGCAAAATCGATCCCAAAACCACCCTGGGGGACCCTCAGGAAAACACCCCCCGGGGCGCCGCCACCAATAAATTAATTAATTGAAACTGATATTTTGCTTTTTATCTGCAGGGAATAACCCCAAATTCTCAGATTTGGGGACACCTCCTATCCCAAAAATCCCTGTGGTTGTTTCTCAGCAGTGTTTTTACGGCTCCTCCGATGCAGCCCCGCTCCCAAACAACCCTTTTGGCAGCGCA